AAACGCCTTCTCTCTCCAACGTGGCATTTCTTTTTAATGGCATGTTTCGTAATTACCTTTATTCCTATAACTCTAACATAAGGGCAAACCTGCCATTTAACGATTTTTTTCTCTCCCATCCATTTTGGTACTTAACCACTATACACGTGCTAGTGTCGTACTTCACCCAAAGAAAATTGAGAAATATATATATTTTTTTATTGTAATGTTAAAAGAAAAGAAAAAGAATGTGAGTAGTTATAACTTAGAAGAGGGAGAGTAGAAGTTGTAATGGGTTGTTTGTTATTTCAAGTGTAAAAAGTATAGAGGCAGCATAAAGTGGGTGTATTGGTGAATATTTTATGAGAAAGTGGGTGTAGATGCTATTTACTCATACAGTTTTCATTTCTTTTTTTGGGGCAAATAAGTCTTTTTTTGGACAAACAATATAAAAAGTTGGAGCTGCTTATATTTTGCCTTAGTTGTTATATCTTAAACATAAAGTGTCTTTTCCTGTCAGTGGTCCAAAATAAAAACTGGGAATGGAAGAAAAAGAGAAGGAGAAAAAATCAACAAAAAGGATGAGGTTTATTAATTCCAATCTCTATGGAATTCCAATGATGATTGTGGTCATGGCACCAAACACCTTGTCTACATATAGACATCCATATGGTAAAACTTAGACTGATCTATATTTTTTAACATTCAAAACTAATTTCTAAATCCTAAACACTAAACCCTAAATATAAATAGTTAAAAGTAAAAATTACTACCATATTACTTAAACATTAATAGTTAATTCAAAAGATATTGGTAGAATTGAAATTTTATTTTTGGTTTGAAATCGTGGGTAGGAATTTTCCAAATGTTAAATAAACAACGACTTTTATATAACAAAATTAAATTAACAAAGTTTTTTTAGTCCAACTAAAAAGTACATGTATTAATCGTCCAAAAAAGTAATAGATGGTGAATTTTTAGACTTTATCCCGATTGATATGTTTTGATGGTCACCAGTTTCCTCTTTGAACAAAGAAAAAAACACGAACGTTGATAAACATCAATTAGAAGTGTCTTGGATATAATCTCTTTTTGAAAATAATTCAAAAGCTTGTTTTATATTTTTTGAGCTATATGCAATGGAATAATAAGTGAAATAAGTTTCTAAATAAGTTGTGAGTCCATATGTTTCTAACTGCATCAATCACAAACATGTTTCTAGCGAGTGAAAACATAGAGAATAAGAGAAACTTAAATAACCATGTGCACCACAACCAAAACTCAAAAGATTAAGAAATCCACATCCATAAACCGATTTCCAATCAACACCACCACACCATAAACAATACTGCAACTGATCATTTATTAAACAATGAACAAATGTTCAAATACAAATATAATGGAAAATGTATAATATAATAATATACATAAATTATAGCAAAATCCATCTTAAAATGTAAAAAAATACAATATATTATATAAAAATATATAGAAAATAAGTTGTTAGTAACTACATAAATTGACAACAAAATAATAAAAGGGAAATATGGAAAATGAAAAAAGGAAAAAAAGAGGGAGAGAAAGAATCAAAAGGCTTCTAGTTATATGTTATATGCTGTTGACGGCCCATTTGCGGACGCCCATTGCAAAGCTTCTAGTGATAATAGACTTTTGCATTCAGGCTCCTTCTTCTTGCAAACACTCTTCATCTCCCGCAGCAAATTAAGGAAGAGCAATCAAAATAGTCATCGCTTCTTGTAACTCCTTAAGTTTCAATGCTTTAGTTGAGTGGTTGGACCAAAATCAAATTAGAAATTATGCTTCCATGTTTTTATCTTTTTTACCATGGGACCATGTTTATAGGTTATGATAATTGATTGTAAGCCTAAACTATTTCATTTTCAATAAAACATTTACTTTCTTAGCAAAAAAAAAGAATCTAGAGAAATACATCATAATAGAGCTAACTAAATATAATTACTTGCTGACTAACTTTATTACTTACCAATCTACAAGAGATCTCGCTGGTTAAAGGATTTAACTTTAGGATTAATAGGAATTATAGTACATTTTCAAAAACTAATAAGGGAAGTAGTACATACACTATTTATAATTGTAAAAGTAGTCACATGAACCCACAATGTAAGATATAAAAAATATAAAATACGAAAAAGAGATGCAAAAATGACATGAAGGGCAATTTTTTTCTCTTGATTTTAGTTATTTTTTATTTTATTTTTCATTTTATTTTCTCTTAGTTTTATCACCCCAAAAGTTTTATAAATAACATACAAATTTTTGTAAAATCAATATCAATAATATTTTTGACACATAAAATCTTTGTTTTTTTCTCTATAATTTGATATGCATTTTGGTAGTAAATTTGAAAATTTTTCATACATAAATATTTATTTGTATAGTTTAGCATATGTACAAATGTTTTTTGTACAGTTTAGTACGTGTACGTTCGTATGTACAGACGTATCCATACATCAATATGTACAGACGTATCCGTACAACTTACTAATTGTACGAATATATGTAAAAAATTACTCATTTTTATCCGTACAAAGTATTATGTATATTTGTATACTAATACGCTGTACGGATGTTATTATGTATTATTTTTATTATTATACAAAAACATATTTTTTTACGTCTGTACAGTAAATATGCGGTACAAATTACATAGTTATTTCAATGGCAGACTTGTAAATACTATGTTGTTCTGAGTGTTTAAATGTCAATGAAATAGTATCAAATAGTGATAATGTGCTAGTTTTCTAATTGTAAATAGTGATTGTACTAGTTTTATAAATATGTTTTAAAAATGTACTAATTCTCCAACACACCCTTAACTTATCGAATAAACTACCTGAACTATCAAATTTTTACCAAAAAACAATATTGACCAAAATAAGGTTTGGTGAACTATGTTGTGTCATTGCCACGTGTACAGATTATGTTGAGTCGGATGCCACGTGTACAGATTCTGCTGAGTAAGATGCCACATGTCAACAATGTATATATATATATTTTTTATTTTTAAAAAAATTTTGTAACTAAATTTAGAACATCCATTATTTAGACTTTTAATTTTAATATTCTTATTTAATGTGTCTGTTTTCTTTATTCCATCTTAACATAGTATTTCGAATTTTGTTTGGTTGATTTCAATACCTAAAATTTTCAATTAGAACCATTTAAAGTCACATACCTAATGCAAATAAGTCCGAAAAAAGGATAACTCAATTCAAAATACGGCATTAGGACTAAAAATATACAATCGAAAATAGCATATATGTTTTAAATTTAATTGCAATTGTTTAAAAAAAAACTGTATATGTGGCATCTCACTCAGTAGAATCTGTACATGTGGCATCTGACTCAGCATAGTTGACCATTCCTATTTCGGTCAATGTTGTTTTCTACAAAAAAGTTATAGTTTATGTAGTTTATTTTAAAATATATATATTTGAGGTAGAAATCAACACTCTATCAAAGTTGAGGTATGAATATACACTTTCGAAATTGTTCGGGTTGAAAATAGGCAACCTCCTTGGTAAGTGTGTTATATGTAATAAGTAGTACCCAAAATTGTCAATGCCACCCTCAAACATAGGAGTGCTTATATTGTGACCACTTACTTATCTTATATATCGCAAACATAAAATAACTTATTACAGTAAAACCTCTATAAATTAATAATGTTGGGAACATGGAAATCTATTAATTTATAGAGGTATTAATTTATCGATAAATTAATAATTATTAATTTATAAAGAGATATTCCTAATTTGGAAACTATTTTCAAAACAATATTTAAAAATAAGATTTTATCATGATAATTAGTATTTTATATATTCAATTACAAATAAAATAATAATTATTATGTATTAAAAGAGAATGCTAACTATTTTTCATATAGTAAAATATTAGAAATAAAATCTAACAAAAACTAATGTGTCTATATATACATGTATTTTGAAAATTTTACCTAATTATTAATTTATAATATTGATGGGACCATATATTTACAAAGGATTTTCAAAAAAAATATTATCTTATTATTTTATCGAAATATGTCTAAAATTACACTAGTCCCAACTTGGGACCGGAGAAATTTATTAATTTATAGAGATTATTAATTTATCGAGTATTAATTTATAGAGATTATTAATTTATCGAGTATTAATTTATAGAGGTTTTACTGTATGTAAATCACTCCTATATTTTTGTATATACTTTTTTTTTATTTGCAAAGAGTCCCTAAACTTTTATCTTTTTCTTATATCTATGATCCAAATGAATAGAATAGTATTTTTAATTATTAATAATACCAAATATTGTTTTGCAAAAGTTGAAGTAAATGGGTTAGTTTGCAATTTTTATAAATAATAGGTCTCAATATTAAAATAAAAAAAGATTCAGTTTGGCATATTTCTGGTAAGAGAAAAAAAGAGGATTACATTGGAGTTAAATTCACTTCTATTATAGACTTACTCTATTTTAGAGATAGAAAATAATACAACTGTTGTAAACTATGGTTTTTAAACTAGAAACACCTCACTAATTAAGACTATCTCCAATATATTTCAGAAATTCGACATGCATGTTAAACACCAGTTTAAAAACCATTCACATTAATGTTTTGTAACATCAATTTTAAAAATATTTTTAAAGATACTCATCTCATATGTGGAATGAAAATACTATTAGTGTATACATTACTTGATACTAGTCATACGATAATACTTGTACACGATAAGTCGATAAATACTACTTTATCACATAACTCGTAAGCTTATCATAAAATACACCAAAAACTAAACTTTATATATTGAAATATATACGACGTAAATTTTGTAAGAGGAGTTTTACGCGTTTTATTCATTATTCATAGTTTATACTATAATACTATAGAACAAAGATATAACAATGATAGCATAAGCTAAGCATGCATGCATGCAACGTGAGTGCTTGCTATATTGCCAATGCCAACGGTCACTGCAGTTCCCAATTTAGTGTCGTCGGTTACTAACGGAACCGCTACCACCAACTCCTCCACCTGCACCACCTCCAATAGCGCCACCGGCCCCTCCTCCAGTGCCACCACCACGTCTTCCTCCACCAATGTTGCCACCTCGACTTCTACCGGTTCTTCCTCTGGCTCCTACGCTACCATTAGCTCCGCCACGACCATCTCCACCACGGCGTCCTCCCCCACCGCCACCACCACCACCACCTCCGTCTCCACCTCCACCGCCACCTCTTCCACCTCCACGGCCACCTTCACCGCCATTACCTCCTCCACCACCATTGCCTCCATTACCACCAGCACTGCCACCTTCACCTCCTCCACCACCAGCTCCTCCTTCCCCACCACCCCCACCTCCAATTCCTCCACCTGCACCTCCATCACCACCATTACCGCCGGTGCCACCTCCGCCACCACCAGTACCACCTTCTCCGTTAATTCCACGTCCAACTCCAGTGTCCTCTCCATCATCTCCACCTCTACTAGCACCAGCACTATCTCCGTCATATGCGTCATGTAGATGACCTCTGTTTTCGCCACTGCCATGACCATCTCTACTACATACTCTCGCCAAACCTTGAGTCAACATCAGTAACACCATCACACACGCCACTACCCAACCCCTTCTCACGAACTTCCCCATATTATACATACACACACACAGCTCAATCAGTACTAGCTAGCTTTTTGATTATATATATACTTTGGCGGTCAATTCTATTTATAGCAAAAACAGAAAAAAGCCCGTAAACACACGTGTCCTCTAATCACAAATTTCTAAAAATGTCAAAACCCACTATACACTATGAAATCTAGAAGACTCTAGAGTAAACTCCTTGGTCGACATGAAAAGACATATAGTCTTCGATAAGCACTAACGTATATATCAAAGCTAATCATTCACTATTTGGCTCTATTCATAGTGATTTCACTTAGTGAAATATTATACGTGATTACGTGCCTCCTTTCATCTCTCGCCAACACGCATTTCCACATATCATTACGCATAGCCGTGATTCAGAGAAAAGGTATATGACTTCAGCCACACAAAAATAAACATACAAAATGCCATTTTTTTCTAAATTGGACTACCTATTTATTTTTCTCTGGAAACAAAACTTATACCATTAACATTTATAGAAACTTATGTTGGTTTTTTTCCCTTACATTAGCTAATACTTTGTATGGTCCGAGCGCACTACAAAAAAACAATCCATTTCTGAGGGACAGAATCATCGGTAAGCCCTCGGAAACAGCATGACGGGTTTCCGAGGAAAAAAAGTCCTCGGAAATCGCTCGTCGGAAATAAATTTCCCTCGGAAATTCGTCGATAAATTCTGAGGGATTTCCAAGGGATATAAATTTCCGAGGGATTTCTAAGTACGTGAATTTTCCATGGGATTTCCAAGGACGTTATGCTTCCGAGGCATTTCCAAGAGAAACAATTTCTGAGGGATTTCCCAGAGAGTAATTACCAAGGGATTTCCAAGAGACGTTTCTGAGGAATTTCCAAGGGACTCTTATTTCCGAGGGATTTTCAAGAGACATGAATCTGAGGGATTTCCGACAGTTTATTTCCAAGGACTTACCGAAGACGTGAATTTCCGAGGGAATTCCGACGACGACGGAGTTTTTAGCAAAATTCTAATTTTGATTATATAATTATGAAAATATAAATTTTAACAATTAATAAAATTAATAAAATCTAAAATTAAAATATCCAAATAAACAACAATAGTCACAAAATTAAAATAGTTTTGAAAAAAAAACTAAATAGTTTTAGGGAGGCGGGAATTTTCCCGGGAATTGAGAAGAAATGAAAAGTTGAAGTTGGGAGAGTGTCGTTTGAGTCTCGGTGAATTGTTCCGTAATCTTGAGATTTTGTTGCTTCAACTCTTCGACCGCCTCATCTTTTTCTTTCACGATTCGGTTAAGATCTTGAACTTGTTGAATGAGTTCATTGTCTCGGGGAAATGCCGAAGAGATACTCCCGTCTTGTGACACAAGACTTCCTAATCCACGTCTCCGACCTTTGGTTAAAGGAATTTCCTAAACAAACAAAAAACTTATAATTAATTGTTTAAAATAAATAATAAAGTAAAACTAAAAAATATACAAATATACCTCAATACACAAACGGTTGATTTCTTCACGAGGTAGATCGATTGAAGATGATGAGCCATCTTGAGAGAGTTGCGATAGACGTTCCATCTTCCGTAGCTTAATCCTTTCTATGCATTCTTCGACAACCGGATCTTAAATTTGTCCGGTTTTCTTGCTTGTGTGGGTTGTTTCCATAACATCTATCCAATCCGGCGCAACACCTTTGTTTGCGAGCATCTAAATTTAAAGAAAAATAAACAACATATCAAATGTAAAAGTATAAAATTTCTTAAAATAGAAGTAATTAATTGAAAACTTACCATTTTTCTCTCATGCTTTTTGAAGGATATGGAACCTCCATTGTGGGTAGTGGCGGATCAAGCAGATCAAGCTGTTCAGACAGATCAATTATGGATCAAACGTATTAGACTGATCAAGTAGAAAAAGTGCAGATCAAGCGGTTCAAAATATATATTGAATGGTGAAATAATATAAAAAACAGTTTAAGTAGTAAAAAAATTAAAAATATTAAAAGTAAATGTTTAAAAAAAGGGAAAATGTGACGTATATATTTTCAATATTATGTAATGAAAAAAAAAAATTTAGTAAAAGATAAATATAATTATATTTTGTTAACAACAACACATATGAAGACGATGAAGATGAAATTGATTGAGGCAAGGCCGCGTAGGAAGACAAAGGAGAAGAAGAGAAAGTTAATCGGTCAAAGGAGACAAAGAGAAAAGGGAGAAAAGAGGAAAGATATTTTGTCCGTTGGATTAATTAAATCAATGGTTCAGATTGCAATCCTTGTGTTTACATACCATCCAATGAAAAAACTTCATTCTTTAAAGAATTTTATATTTGGTAAATAATGTTAAAAGAATATTTAGTTCCATTAAAATATTATAATTTAATATATTCTGCAATTTAAAACTCATAATTCAATAAATGAAATTTAAATTTTAGGATTTGGGAACTGGGGTTTTAAGATTCAAAAGAATATTATATTTGATTTAGATTTTAAAAATAATTAGTTTTAGGTTTCAAACTGACTAAAGTAAAATATTTTTTAAACATTAAATTAAATTTATAAGTAAATTTGTTTTGGAAATTATCTGTAGATACTAAATAGTTTTACGTACTGGTTTGATACATATATAATGGTTATATTTTGGTTGAATGGTTTATGATTTTATTTCTATATATGCAATATATATGAATGGTTGCATTATATATAAATGGTTTAAGATGTGGAAAATTATTTTTTCATATAAGTATTAAAGCTTGGTTATATGTATATATAATAATGATGGTTCTGACTTTTCGTTTTATGGTTTATTAATTAACTTCTTAGATTAAAAATGGAAAGTTATTCAGATCTTGTGATTTAGGTTTTGGAGTTTGGTTAAAACTTTTGGGGTTAAATTTTAGCAATTAAGATTTTCTGAAATATCGACTGAAATGCGACTTCTTAGTGACCTTTCCAAAGAGTCGCATATTAGTCGCTAAATTAGCGACAATTTAGCGACTACCTGTTCCGAAATGTAATACAGTCACTAAATAGTCGTCAAAGTACGACTAAAATATCGACTACTATATGTAGTCATAAAAAGGCGACTAATTTACGACTAAACATATGTAGTCGCCAAATGTAGTCGTAAAATCCATATTTTCTTGTAGTGCGCTAGTGAGAGTATGTGAGGCCCATTAAGAGAGGTGAGTACATGGGCTGGTGGTGAACTTGGGGACCACTGGAGAGATGGCGGTCAAGGTGGTATCAGAGCCGAACCTTGAAAAGTGTGGAGTGGTGGGCTCACACTCTCACGGGGTGATGATCTTGGTGCGAAACGAGGATGTTGCGGCCTGTTAATGGGGGGGGGGAATTGTGAGATCCCTGTTTGCGGAGCGATTTAAATTAATTGATTTGGCTACCTATGTCACCAAAGTGCACTTATCTTTTCGGTCAAAGTTCATGAGAAAACACCATAGTTAAGCGTGCTTATGCTTGAGTAGTCAAATGATGACTGACCTTTCAGGAAGTGGTTGTCGGAATTGTGTGAGTGAAGCCAAAACATAGATGACAGATTATGTGGTGATTTTTAGGATCGGTAAACAAGATTTCAAGCCTCCTGGACGTTGCAAACCGACCATCGGATATTGATGGGCTCATGGGCATAGTGAGATGACGTGAGGCCCATTACGAGATGTGGGCTCATGGGCTGGTGGTGAACATGGGTCCCACTAGAGAGACGGCGGTCGGGCATTTACAGATTCTCTCAACTCGATCAATAAAATATTTACGTCAAAATCTTTCTTCTTTAAATGCATGACTGCATGCCCAATAAAAATCCATGTCACTCCGAAGCTCCAACGATTCAAAAAATTGACAGCATTATCTAATTCTTCTTAATCATCTTGGTCGAAAAAAATTGGCGCATAAACTCTCTGAACTCATTCCTTGTATCTGTTAGAGTTGATTCAAATTACTATTTTCTTCGATTTCCTCTTAAACCACATCTAATAGAGATTTGTGAGCTTCGTGTCACTCTTTGTGAACTACTTCCAAGTCTTAATCCATCTTGTTGCTGAATTCTTTAAGCAATCGTATGAAATGGAAGAGCATGTGGAGAATCATGATGTAAATGATCCTCGGTGAACTCATTTGAGAGACGTGTTTTATCGCTGATATTAACACGATACACCCTTCATTTTCTTGTGTGTTAGGATTTAGGAACTTAAGTTTCATCATCATTTATGCCCTCATTTCATTATCTTTTCTCGTCTTTGGTGCACAGAGTAGTGAGACTGTGATTGTACATCATGTAAGATGAAACAACGTTGCATCATATCCCAACAGTAAGGCGGATTTTGTTTAAATGTTCTTATAATTCTACATCCCTGTTAATAAGTTTATTAAATTTTAGTATAAAATTTTACTGTATACCAAAATTACTAAACATATTTTGGCTATGAATGATATTTTAAATACTTAGAAATTCACGGTCTTTCCACCAAGAATTAGGCTCAGATATGACAAATGTAGCAGGATCAACTGTAATTCCCGTAGAATTTTACATAGGTTGCTTGTACTTCTTGTACATTCTTTTCAGTTGATCAAGTTTTTCTTTGAAAAACCGATAGTTTATATTTTGATTGAACTCCTTGTTGATTTTTAACCAAAAACTCCCTTCCAAAGGAGTGCTGGATCTTTGAAGCGGTAATTATTCATGGCAATTGCTTGATCGTAAAACTCAATAAATATTCTTTCTCTACTAAGAGTTCATTTAAAATTGAGGCTGGTATCACAGACTATCGTCCACCTCCACCTCTTGACGGTGGAAGGATAAAAATTTCTCAATATTTATTTTACTTAAATTAAAAGATAAAATTTGGTAAAATAAGGTGTAAATACATACCCGTGCTGATGTTTTTGTAGGCAAAGCTTGCACAAGAATTTTCATTTTGCTGGCGGTTAGACATTCCTACAAATACAATATAAAAATAATTTGAAGTTAAAAATTAGAAATTTAGAAAACT